ATTTAAACAATGAAAATACTTTTTTCTGCAAATTTTTACTTTATTAAAATTAATAAAACAATAGTAAGAGGTGAGTGAGAATTCAATGAGTCTAGTCGATGATGGCATGGTTGACCGCGAGAGGATTGAGACTTCCAATTATTATTGGGCTTTCCCTAGTAAAGCTCTTCGTGCCAGGAAAACAATAATTTTAAAAGGACCTCACTGGCCCACTAATAAAGTATTTTCAAATCTTTTCTATATTAATTTTTTAAAAGAATTATTTTATTTAACTTTATTATTAATATCATTATTATTTTTCAGTTTGATCAGAGAGAGACAGAGAGAGAGAGAGGAAGTGAGAAAGCAAGCCACCAGGTCTAAGACTTGAACTGTGGTTGGCCATGTGGGAGTCCAAGCGTCTTTAACCACCATGCCACTTGCCAGCCCCTCTATATTAATTATGAACAATCTCTTAAACTTCTACAAACTTTTAAGAGTTTAAGACGGAAGATCTGTAAGTTTCTATTTTCTGATAAATATTCCTGCCACGACTTGCATGCAAAGAGGAAGGGACGCTTTCAGCTCCTTCATTTTACAAATCAAAGCTGTGGGAGCCAGCAGGTGGTGTGTTTAGGGCGCTGGACTACCACATGGCCACCAGTGGCTCAAGTCCCGGACCTAGCAGCTTCCTTTCTCACTTCCCTCTCCGGTGAGTGCAGCCACCCTGTAGGAAATTTAAAAAATAAATAAATAAAATTCTTAAAAAAAATCAGAACTATGAAGCCCAGCCTCAGTCCCAAAACCAAGACAGGGTCCCAGGACTAGCATCATATCTAGTAGATGCACCGGCAGCTTCAGCTCCACCCCCCCGCCCCCATCCCCCGAAGGCATCTGTGTTCTGAAATCTTCCTTGGTGTACTACCTCCTTGCTTTTCCGGAGGTTTGATTTCTTTCCCTCCAAGGGGTTTGGGGCCTCACACCTCTCCACCACTTGGGGGCCCGCAGACGCTTCACCCGGTTCCCTCATTTCACTTTCTCTCTACCCGCCCGCAGTACCCAGCAGGGGGCGCTGCGACTCCTGGTTTCGGGCCCCTCCCCCAGCCAACCGTCGATTGGGCCGGCGCGTGACGTCACGCCGTTTTAGCCAAACAAATGGGTTTCGGGGCGAGCGTTGGGCTCCGCCGCGCCGCGCTGGGCGCTCGGTCCGCCTCAGCGGTGGGGAGCGAGCCAGGCCTCC